AATTTAAAAGATTTGCTTTTTATTTGCTTATAATAATTTTTATAAATATAACACTTTAAATAAATCTTTATACTTTATAAATAAATTATTATTTGAAAATTTATATATTCAATATATTTTTAATTTTTATTTTTCATAAATACCTTTAGCAAGTTGTTATTTTTTTTTATATTTATTTTTTTTCTTCCTTAGAAATAATTATTTTTTTTTGCACTCCTTTTAATATAATTTAAATAATTATTATTTTATTTTTATGTATATAATTCTAAATTATAACTTTAATTTTATATATTTTTAAATTAATTTTTTTTAAATTTAAATATCTTATATAATTTATATGAAAATTTTTTTTTTAAACATTTATTAATTCAATTAAAAATTTAACTTTTATTTTTATAAATTAATTTAGATTTTATTTTCAATTTATTTTTTTTGCAGATACAAATTTTTCTATAAGAAGATTTAATATTTTATGTATATATTTTAATTTTTAATTATTTTTTTAATGTAATTAATTGGACTTTTTATATTTTACTTAATAATTTTTTTAAAAATATATTTTCATATAAATATTATAAGTATACACTAATTTTTAGTTGATTAAAATAATAAATTTTAAATTATTTTGATAATTTATACAATAAATTAATTTTTTACAAATTAATTTAAATTTTTTTAAATTTTCTTTTTTTATATATAAAATATTATAGGCTACCATTGCGCACATGCTCCTCTCTGGGAGCACAGCCATCTTCAGTCTCGCTTTTCACCAGAAAAAAGATCAAAATAATATAAAATTAATTATATAAATTTTATAATTTTATTATTAATAATTTAGTAATAATTGTAATAAACAAATTTTTAAAATAAATTAGTTTAGAGAATAGATTTAATAAATAAATTCATAAAAGAAATTAAAATTCAGGAAATAGAATTTAAAAAAATTTAAATTAAATTTACTTAGAAGAAACTGTAAATTTATTTATTTGGGCTACGCAAGAAGAGAGGACTGAAATAATAATAAATTATACAATCGATAAATAATTATAATAACAAAGTTAATAAAAAAATAATTAAAGTATAAATGATTATAATAAATAATTTTAAGAAAAATAATTATAATAAAATTAACATAAATTTAAATTTAAATTTACAAATTAATAAAATTAAAAAATAAATGTAATAAACATTTTAATAAAAATAATTTAAACAAATAATTATAAAATTATAATAATCAAAGAATAAATAGTTATAATAAACAAACTAGTTAAAATAATTTTAAAAAAATAGTAAAATAAAGTGAAAAAATAATTAAAAACAATTTAATAGAATTAAATTTAAAAAATTATAAAGATAATAATATAATACTTTGAATAAAATTTATTGTAAACAATTTATTTTTAGATAAGTTTTGAAAATAATAAACTTTACTAAAAATAATTTAAAAATAAATAATAATAAAAAAATTTTATTATAAATTATTTAAAATAAATTTTGAAAAAAAGTATTTATAGTAAACAAACTAAATATATTAAACAATTTAATAAAAAATTAATAAATATAAGAAACAAAATAATAAGAGTTTATAAATGACTAATTTGCAATCAACAAATTAATAAATTAATTAATATAAAGGTTAATTTATTTTTTTAATCTGGTAATTTTTATATGGAAATTTATTTTTTTTAAAAAAACGGAATAAATTGTGCATTTACTAATTGCTTTTTCTAAGAATCAACTTTTAAATGTTATTACATAAAACGAAGTTATGGCTTCTTGAATTTAAAACTTTTTCATTAAAAAGGAAAGTTATAGCGCATATCGTAATATTTTTTGAAAAAATTATAAAAAATTAATATTACGAAAACATTGACAGGGCTGTTATCACTTTTTGAAAGTAGAGGTTTTTATTATTTAAAGAATGAAATGGAATTTACAGCGCTTTTATGTAACGCTCTTACGTAAACTTTTAACAATTGAAAGAGTAATTTATATCATCGGAACTTAAAGTAACGAAGTTTTTATTAAAAAAAAAAAAAAAAGAATTAAGAGACAGTGTTAATACTAAATTCTCGTAGATAAAGTATTAATATTATGTTTTACGAAACTTTTATAGTTTTCAAAGTAATATAATCTTTAAAAAAATAAATAAATTTTATAGTGATTTTACTAAATTCACTTTAAAAAATTTTCAACTATTGATAGTCAGATTTATATACCACAAAACTGTTATCAAATTTTAAAAGGAGAGAAACCCTTTTTTAAAATAAAGAAGAAATGGGATGGAATGTCACCATTTTAGGCTCATGAAAAATATTGATATTTAAATATTGCGAAACTTTCAGTTTTCAAGGTAGAAGAATTAATAAAAATAATATAGACTTAAGTCCTTTTACTAAATTCTCTAATATTAATTTTTCAACAAGAATTATATAATTTAAAACTATTATCACTTTTGAGAAGTAGAAAAGCCCTTAACTTTAATAATAAAAAAAATCGTATTGAAATTCTAAGTGCCTTTCCTCGTTCGTTTATTGATTTATCTACTTTTAAGGACAAAGGCATATATTACAAAGTTTTTACTATTAAAATTAAGAAAAAAAACAAATTACAGATCTTTTTTAATGCTTTTATAAAATTTACTTTGAACAAATTAAAGTCGAGGATTACAGAGCCGGCCGTTATCGCTCAAATGCATATATCACAAAGCTATCACTATACAAAAGTAATCTTTTTTTTAAAAAAGAAAATAGAATTTAAAAAGCTTTCCTTTAACGCTTTCTGAGCCGTCAACACTTTTAAAAGTAAGAATGTCTTTTTCAAAACGAAGAATGGTATTTATGGATCTCTTAATTAGAACTATTATAAATACCAACTCTTAAATAAACTTATGTAACTCAAAGCTTTTATTACTTTTTCATAGTAAAAAAAAAAATAAAGTGTAATTCACAATCCTCTCACATAAAGCTCTTACATTTCAACCTTATCACAGTCATTTTGATATATACGAAGCAAATATAACTTTTCATTTTTTTTTTATCTAATTAAAAATAGTGGAAGTTAAAGTTTATTTACTTAAATGTCTAATTAATACAGTTCATAGCTGTTATCAATGTGCAGAAGTGGAAAGGCGGTTTTTTTTTAAAAAAACAAAAGCAAAAATGGAATACACTTAAATTAAAGCTTTTATAAAGAGCTTAAAGTTCTAAAGGATAAGCAAATTGAAATATATGCGATAGTGAAGTAAACAAGGATCACGCAAAACAAGACTTTCTAACTCCAAATTTGTAAAGAAGCAATAGCAAGTTATTTTTGTTATTATTTGTACACTTTTTCTTAATTTACTTTCTTTTCTGTTAAATAAATCTAACATATTCTTACTTAGCGCGGTTAACACCAAACATAGGCCTTATGATGCTGATAATTTAAGCAAACTTAACTAAAAGACGTGAAGGAGCATTAATTTTTGCCTAATTAATTTTTTATTTGTAGCTTTTAGTAAAATGATCTAATTTTCTATTTTAAAGGCGCTACAAAAGCAGCTTTTTCATAGTTCCTTTTTGTAAATTTTTTACTCTTTTACAATTCATTTGTCACAGCTAATATTATTGTTAAAACCTTTTTAATATATATTATTGTAAATTCCTACTTCCTATAATATTATGAGGCCGGCAGTATCATAATTAAAACCGTCTTAAAAATATTTTGACGTAAATCTCTACAAATTTATAATATTTTGTTACCAAAACTATTATTATTAAAACTTTTCATGATATTTTGTAAAATTCTGCTTTTTTGTATATGTTGCCACAGCTACTATTAGAAATTAAATCTTATCAACATAATTTCATGTGAATTTCTATTAATTTATCTAATTTGAACCGCAAAAATTTTTATAAAGAATTTTTTATAAAATTTTTGAGTATATTATATATTTTTGTAAAATAACAAAAGACAAAATAGTGCAGGCAACTTTAATAGGGAGTAAAAGAAGTGTAGCAAAAGTTCACCGCGCTTGGCGCTGGACACGTGACGATTTACGGTTTAATGTCTGCTTTATTATCAATTTTTTATTAATTATTCAAATTTACTAAACCTTTTTATTAGAAATTATAAATTAATTTAATTTTTTTTCATATTTTTTTTAATTATTCTTATATTTATTAAAAGTTATTTATTTTTAGTTTAATATAAAAATAATACTAATAAAATATAGTAAATTTATAACTAATTTCTATTTTTTTTTTAAAACTTTTAAAATATAAATTATTATTTAATTATTTCAATTTATATATTTAATAAAAGTTATTATTTCCTGTTTTATAGAAAATGATAATAAAGTATATTTATATTTTCATTATTATAATTATTTAAACTTTTATAAAAATTATTTAATTTTATTTTTAGTTATTTATATCTTTTTTAACTTTTTTTTATATTTATAAAAAATTCTTTATTTCCTGTTTTATATAAACATAATAAAATAAAGGAAATTTATTGTTTAAAATATCTAATCTTTAAAATTATTTTATTACTAATTTTTTATATATACTTTTTATAAATAAATTTAAAAAAAAATTGTATAAAGATTTTGTATAAACGTTATTTATTTGTAATTAAATTTTATAATGTTAAATTATAAAAGAAAATCTTTATATATAAAAAACAGTAATAAAAATATTTATTGTATTAATAATATTTACTAATAAAATAACTATATATATTTTTTTAAGATATTTTTAATATATAAATTTATAATATATATAAATAATAAACATAATAAAAAATTAATATAATTTAAAAGAAGTAAAAAAAACTTTGTAAATAAATCAAAATAATAATAAATAACTAGTTAAGCAAAAGTGGCACTGGAGTGGTAAGAACACGTGGTAGTTGTAGTGTATCAGCATTTTTGCCACAAAACGAAAGACCGACGAAAAATTACTATAAAAAAAAAAATAAAAATTTAAAAAATTTTTTAAAAAGTAAATTTATTTTTCTTATTCTTCACGTTTTAATAACGATGTCAAGCCCATAATTAAAAGTAACAAGTATTTCGCCTTCGGAAAATCGTTAAGGAGTATAGTAAATATACCAGCGTAGGGAAACCAGCTAAAAAGTTTTAATAAAAAAAATTAAGATTTAAAAAGATTAATTAAAAAAATTTAAAATTGAAAAACTAAATTTAATTAATTTAAAAAGTGACTAATAAAAACTATTGATAGCTAAAAAGTTTATAAGGATTATATTTTATAATATTTAAAAAAAAGATAAAATAAAAAATTATAATTTTTAATATTCAAAAAAATGCTTTTTATATTTTGGCCAAAAGTTTATTAAAAAAGGAAAATTAAAAAAAATATTTTAAAAAATTTAAAAATGAAATAGATTCACAAAAAAAAGTTATAAAAATTAAGTCTAACTTTATTTATCCTATTTATATACTATCTAAAAAGTAAATAAAAAATAAAAGATTAAATAAAAATGTATAAAAAAAAATTCTTTTTATTATTTTTATAAGAAAGTTTGTAAAAAATTTCAAAATTAAATTAGATTTATTTTCTCTTTATATTTTTAGCTGAAAAATAGATAAAAATATAAATTTTACTGTAATTTCTTCTTATGATTAAGTTAAAAAGTTATTGAAAAAAAAATTAATTTCAAAAAAATCAATTAAAATTTTAATAAATTTAATATTATTTTCATTTTTAGCTAAAATGTTTAAAAAAATTTAAATAGAAATCATAAAAAGGAAAATTTGTTATACAATAAATTTTAAAGTTTTTTTTGTAAAAAATATTCAAATTAAAAATTAAAAATTATTTCTGCTTTTAGTATTTTTTGCTCAAAATTTAAAAAATTTTGAATTATTCAAATTTTATTTATAATTTTTATAAAAATAATTAAATTAAATTATTTAAAAAATAAAAAAAACAAAAATCAATAGAAATTTATAAAATTTGTAATGTAATAATTTTCATATAAAATTATAAAAAAAAGTTGTTTTCATAAAATTTAAAATTAATTTAAACAAATTTCAAAATCTAAAAATGAACAATTTTTTTTTCTTTTTATATTTTTTGCCAAAAATTTTATAGTTTTTAATTTGTCTTAAAGTTATACGGGAATTTTCTATAAATATTCAAAAATATGAAAGTTATTAAAAAGTTAAATTAATAAATTAAAATTAAAAATTAATACAAAAATTAATAATAAATTTCCTTTTTTTATTACGTTTTTTAAAAAGTTTATCAAATATAAATATTTAAAAGTTAATATAAAAAATTTTATAAAAATCATAAAAATAAGTTAAAAAAAAATTTAGATAAAAAATTTAATTTATAAAATAAATAATTTAAAAAAACTAAATTTGAATTTTTTTTCTTTTTATAATTCTTTTAAAAAAGTTATATAATTTTAATTTTTTAAAGTTAAATAAAAATTTTAATAAAAAAATAAAAATAAGTTATTAAAAAAATTTAATTTATAAAATTCATAACTAAAAAAAACAAGAAATTAAAATTATTATTTTATACATTTTTTCTAAAAATATGATAAAACTTTAAATTTTTAAGTTTATACTTAAATTTTTATATGAAAATCGTTAAATAAAAATAGATGGAAAAATTTAATTTAAAAAGTTAATAAGTAAAATCAAGAAATTAAAATATTTTTGTTCTTTGTTATTTTTGCTGAAAAAAATTTTATATTTAAATTTTTTTAGTTTATATAAATATTTAAAAAAAATATATAATAAATCATTAAATTCAAGTATTAAAATTATTTGATTTTCTTTGGATATTTATCGCTAAAAATTAATAAATAAATTTTTTTTTATGGTTTATATAATAACTTTTATAAAATTCATAAAAAATAAAAGGTATTAAAAAAAATATATATACAACTTTCAACCAAAAATTAATAAAAATCTAAAAATTAAAAAAAAATTCTTTAGACATATTTTACTAAAATATACCAAATTTTATATATTTTTTAAGATTATACGAAATTTTGTATAAAATTCATAATAGAAAATTGTTGTTATAAAATTGTTTTTCTTATTTTTGGCTAAAAAATTTATTAATTTTAATAAATTTTTTTTTTAAATTATAGAAATAGAAGTTATTAAATAACTAAATTTAAAATTTTGACTTAACAAGATCAATAAATAAAATAAAAAAAAATAATTTTTTTTTCTAATTTTTTTGGGTAAAAATTTATAAATTTTAGATTTTTAATAGTTCATACAAAATTTCTTATAAAATTCAAAATAATAAAAAATAAAAAAGTAAAATTTAAAATGTTCAATAAAAAAAATAAATTGAAATAACAAAAAAACTTACGCTCTAACGCGACCAATTAAATCTTTTTTAGTGAGCCAGTCCTGACCGCTTGCATATAACGGCCTATCATGAACGCGATTGTTATCGCCTTTCGTTAGTAATTTTACTTCGCCATTTTTCCTTTTTTATAAAAAATAAAAAAAACAAAAATTTTATTACACGAAAATTTATATAAACTTTTTTTTTATGAATATTTTTTTTATAAAATACTTAAAAAAAATTTACAAATATTATAAAATAATGAAAAATTTTATTACACACGAAAATTATTATAAATCTTTTTAAATAAAATTTATTTAATAATATAATACTTAAATTTTAAACAAAAATCTTATAAACTTGAAAAAAAATTAAAAAAAACTTTTTATCAATATTAAAAATATTAAAAAACCTTCCAAAAATATTATAAAATAGTAAAATACTTTGATAATAGTTTTTTTATATTTTATAAAAATATCATTCAACAGTAAAACTATGAAAAATATTATTTATATAAAATAATAAAAAATTTTAATAAATTTTATTACATAAAAGCTTGTATAATTTACTTGAAAGAAAATATTTTTTGAATTAAAATACAAAAAACTTTTTAAAAGTATTATTAAATAGTAAAAAACTATTGATATCACAATAATAAATATTTTAATATTTAAGAAATACTAATATTTACACAAAAAAATAAAAAAAGTATTAAAAAAATTAATATTCATATAAAATATAATAATAAATGATTATAAAAATATAAAAAGATATAAAACTTTTTAGAAATATTAAAATAATATAATAATAAATGTTAAGAACTTTTTTTAAAAAATTATTAAATAGTAAAACATTCAAAAATATTAATATAAAATAATAAAATAATAATAAATTATATTGTCCAAAATTGGTATAAATATTATTAATAGAAATATAAAAACCATAGAAAATATTAATTAATAATAACACCTTTATAAATTTTAATAACTTTTATAATTAATATTTTGGTATAAAAAAGGAACTTTGAAAATATTAAAAAAAATAAAAAAATTATATATATATTTTTATTACAAAAATTTTTATAAACTTTTATTTTTACAGTAAACTTTAAAATATTTGTTATAAAATTTTACTACTATAAAAAAATTAAACTTTTTCTATTAATAAAAAATTCCTTAAAAAAAATATTAAAAAATCATAACAAAAAATATAATAAACTTTTTACAAAAAATTATTATCATAAATTTTTTATTAATAAAATAAGAAATAAAAATAAATAAATATACAAAACTTTCTTACAATAAAAAAATAAACATTTTTTTAAAAATAATAATAATAAAATTGTTATAAAAAATTATTATCTAATCATTAAATAAAAAAAATTAATAAACTTTTTATAATTACTATTATAATAAAACTTTTAAAGAAAATTAAATTTATTATAAAAACTTTGAAAAAATATAATAAACTTTAAAAATAATTAAAATTCATTTATAAATTTTAATACAAAAAAAATTATAAACTTTTTAATAAATATTTTTATCAGTAAACTTTATTACAGTAAAAAAATATAAACTTTTTAAAAATTATTATTATTATAAAACTTTTCATTACAAAATGATCTTTTTGAAAATATTATTATAAAACTTTTAATAATAAACTGTATTATATATTAAAAATATAATAAACTTTTTATTAAATATTGTTATAAACTTTTTAAAAAAAAATCTAAACTTTAAAAAAGTTAAAAATATTATAAATATAAGAAACATATAAGACTATTATAAAACTTTTATCAATATAATAAACTTTATAAAATATATTTTTATTTTAAAAATTTTATATAAAATATTAAACTTTTTATAGAATATTATTATTATAAATCTTTATTACAATAAAAAAAATGTAATAAAAACTTTTCACAAAATATTTTACAATAAAAATTATTTAAAAACAAAATTAAACTTTCATAAAAAATAATGAAATTATCAAACCCTTCATGAATTTTAATGACGCGGTGGACGATGGGAATTTCTTTATCGGCCACGTTAAACACCACAATGTCGCCCACGCGCACGGGAGTGTCGTAGTTTGTGAGGAAAAGAAGATCCCCGCGGTATACTAAAGGCTCCATACTTCCACTAAATATATAAATAATAAATAAATAAATATTTACAATAATAGTAATAGTATATAATAAATATCACAATAGTAATAATAATATTTAGAATAATACCTTTATAAAAAATAATAATTTTTATGTATAATAAAGTTAATAATAATTATATTTATGTTTATTATATTTTTTAATGTAGAAAAGTTTATCATGACAATTATATTTATAATAATATTAATATAAAAAGTTTATAATAAATATATATAGATGTTCACAATAATAATAATTATTAATATATTTATAATAATATTAATATAAAATAATAAACATAAAAAATATATAATCAAAATTAATAATAATAATATATAATAATAATAATTATTAATAATATATAATATATTTTTAATAGTAATAATATAAACTTTAATACGAAGTAAAAATTTTATTATTAAACTTCTCAACAAGTATTCCTTAAAAAAAAAAGTGAAAGCAGGAAACATAATGAAACAAAAAGTTTATGAATCTATTAAATTTTTTCAATAAAAAAATAAAGTAAATAGTATTTTTTACTTCATATTATTAGTAATTATAATTTATAAAGGCAATAATAAAAACATTTTATTATACTGTTTTATATAATAAGAAAAAAGTTCAGAAACGTGCCATATTTTTTAAAGTTTGGAGCTCAAAAAATTAATGAAACAATAATAATAAATAATATATATTTATAATAATGTGCACAATAATAAAAAATAATATAATAATATATATAATTATTAAAAATAATAAAATAGACAATAATAGGAAGTAAAGCAAATTTAGTATATATTTATTATTATTTAAAAAAAAATAAATTGAAAAAATTTAAATTTTTTAAAAATTAGAAAATTATTTTTTCTTAAAAAAATTTCGGATTCAATACTTTTTATACTAAAAAAAACTTTTACTTTTATTTTTTTAATAAAAAAAAGTTTGAAAAAAGTACGTTACCGGTTTGATTTACTATAAAAAAATTTCTTTGCACGAACGAAATTTTTTTATTTGTAAATTATATAATTATTACTTTTGATGAAAAATAAAAATAAAATTATTAAATTTTTAAAAAGTAAAAGCAAGCCATCAAACTTTTTTTTGTAAATAAATTAAAAATTAATTAAAATTAAATTTTTTAATTAATTAATTTTACCTTTTTTTTTAATAATTATTTAAACTCTAAACGTGGTTTATAATATTTAAAATAATAAATGTTTAATAATACTTTTAACGTTATAAATTTAATTATTAAAAAATTAATAAAAACGAAAAACTCATACGAAAATGAATAAAATATTTAATAGAAAAAGAAATAAAAGTGAATTGAAAATTTTTGGAAAAAAGGTTTTGATAGTATCAGATTTTTTTTATAAAAAAAATAATATTTTCCTCAAGACGAGAACGACTTATAAATTTTAAATTCAGGAAATTAGCTAATAAAAATAAAATAAACAAATTAAAATTTTTGTTATTTAGTTAATAATTTAAATCCTAAACGTGAATTTATAATAAATTTCTTTTAAAAAAAATAATAGAAATTAACAAAATTAAAAAAAATAAATTTGCCAAAATTTAAACGTAAACAAGAAAATTTTAAAAAATAAGTTTTAATAATTTCGAACATTTTTAATAAAAAAAATTTTTTTCTGAAAATAAAGGAGAACGACTTAAAATTTCAAAACAGAAAATTAGCAAACAAAAATAATTTTTTTTTAATTTAAAATTATTTTAATTCCTAAAGGTTAATTAAAATTTTTAGAAAAAAGGGAAATAATTTTGAGAAGTATACTTTCTTTCAAAATTATATTAAATTTTTTACAAAAATATATTTTGTGTTACCAAATTGAATTTAAAAAAAATAAGAAAAAAGATAATGAAAAAAAATATATGTGAAATATAAATTAAAAAAAAAAAATTTATATTTTCAAAATTCATATTATTAACGAAATAGTATTTCCCTAAAAACAAATGAGAACGACTTGACAATTTCAAAATCAGGAAAAATTTGATTTATTTAAATATTTTTTTAATTATTTTGTTAGTAAATTTATTCGCTAAAGGTCATCTAAAAACTTCAATAATTTTAAAAACTATCCTTTAAAATTTGAAATATATAATAAAAAGTTTTAAAAACAAAAACAAAAACATAAATAATAGCAAAAAGTGGATAATAAATCCGTAATAATTTCAAAAACTATTATTTTTAAAATATTAAATATTAATATATACCAAAATAAACTAAAAAATAATTAAAAAACCAAAAAAAACCAAAAAAATTAACTGTAAAGTGAAGGAAAATTTTAAAATAAAAGTAAAAATATAAAAAAATTAATCTCTGAGCCAAAACTATACTTTTACAATATTAATTTCTAAAATAAATGAGAAATAATTTGTAGATGATTTAAGAGTTTAGCAAAAAAAATTAATATTAAACAATATATAACCCCAAAAGATTAATTCTTTTCAAGTACAAAAGTGTAAATGAAGTTTATTATATAACAATATTAAGTAAAGGCACCTCAAAACTACTACAATAGGGCTATCGCACCAAGTAATAAGATTTAAACTACGCCAAACCATCAATGCAGTGCACACCATCAACAAAAAGTTTAAAACTTGATTAGCGAGCTAAAAAGTGATAAAAAAAATTAAATAAAATACAATAAGGTAAATTAAAATAAATAATAATAAAAATAAGTTATAATACCAAGAAAAAAAAATTTAACCTAACTATAATTTTTTATATATATAGTTTGTAGAAAAGTTTACTTGGCGTTTGTTCATTTGCCGCACATCTCGAAAAATATCAAACATGTTCACTTATACCAAAAATAATAACTATTTATTATTAAAAGTTATTTATTAATAATAAAGAGTTTTGAAAGTAAAAAATAAATACAGTAATAGTAACTTTACATCTCAATAAAAACAATATTTATTAACTTTGTAATACTTAACCAGTTTTTATGAATATTTTTCTCAAACTAATTCACAAAATGCTTGAAGGTTAATTAATAAATTATAAGAATAGTAACTACCCAAAAATAATTAAGATAACAATTTATAAAGAACTAAAAATAGTTTGTAAAAAGAAATTCTATTCAACTTACTTTGCAGCTTTTGGACAAATGCTGACGTTAAAATAAATATATGTTAAAATTTTTAGATAAAAAAAAAATCCCTCTCGACGTACATTATACGTTAACATTATAATAATTAATATACACTAAATTTTTTTTTAAATCAGTATATAGATAAAATTTTTTAAAACTATTTATAAACAAATAAAGTTAATTTAGTTTATAAAAGATTTTTTGCAAATTGCTTGAAGGCTTATAAACGAATTGTAACAAAGGTTACATAAAAATAATAAATATATATTGATATTTTTAAAATCAGTTTAAAATAATTCTTCTCAAAAAAAATATACTTTATAACTTATAGACAAAAAAATGTTAATATCAAAATAGTTTATATATACTAAATTTATTTTTAACAGTATACGAAAATATTCTTTTCAATATACTTTTTTAGTTTAGGACAAAATATGGTAAAAATCTCTAAAATAAATAATATATAAAAATTATTTTTTAATATTCAATTTATATAAGTAATTTTTCTTAAAATTACATCTGTAGCTTTATGGAAACTTCTAACTACTGTAACTCTTCGTTCTACAAGCGAACCATGTAAAACTTCGTTCCACGCAACTGGCGCCAGCGCGGGTAGTCAATAGTCAAAGCAGAAGTTATTTTTTAGAAAAACAGCTTGAGCCAATCACTATAGTGAAAATCAGAATTTATTAACGTTTTCCGAGACGAAAGCGTCGGGCCCCGACGGTATCACCAAAGTGATGTCAAAGCAATATCAGTGGTGGCGGTAGAACGTCTATACTGGTTAATCAACTCTACCATGGCCTCTCGGCACCTTCCCATTGCGCTGAAAGACGGCAACATTGTGATACTCCCGAAGACACCACGACCAGCATCCACCAAGCAAACACAGGCCTATCAGCCTCTTGTCAGCTGGGCAAAGCAGCTCAGGCGCCTATACTACACCGCTTGAAAGCAGTTGTTGAGGTAAGCTACGCCCTGCTAGAGTTCCAAATGGATACTAACAAGGTCGCTCCACGACTCAACAACCCCTTCGCCTGAGAAAACGGACGACCCGTGCCTTCACTTTAAAGAAGGCAACGGACGCCGTATTTCTTGATTTCGAAAAAGCGTTTGACCGAGTTTGGCACAAGGGCTTGCTTAACAAATTGGTCGCATAGTTTTCCTACTACTCTTTTTAACGTGATCAAATCTTATCTTAAGGACCGCCTCTTTGAGACACGTGTGGGCGATGTGCGCGGGTTGCTTTATATGCGGATGATACGACGATTTACTCATTTCGCCAGCATCTGCAGTACTACCTAGTGATGCTTGCCAACTGGTGTCGTCGTTGGACAATTAATATTAATGTAAAAAGAGCACAGCCTTTTTTATCAGGAACACTAATACCACCTCTGAATTTGAAAACAAGATAATTCCTTAATGTTTTCAGTCGAAATACCTGGGGGTCATTATTGGCTATAAGCTCTCGTAGCAGCCGCACGTAACCTAAATCTCGGCGAAGGTTCAAACTCTTTACCTTTAGCTTGAGCCGAAGCAAACTTTCGCTGCACAATAAGAAGACACTTGTGTTTGTTGTGGATCCGCCATCACGACATACGCGTCTAATGCCTGGGCCTTCGTGTCACCGGCAATAATCTCTTAGCTTCAAGTGAGACAAGACAAGCTGCTACACCTTATGACGGCGGGCGCGCCGAAGTTTGTTCGCAACGATGCCTTACATAAAACTGAACCTCTGGGTAATGTTTTTCGACCCAATGCTATCGCCACCTACTATCGGCTCAATGAAGCACACCAATTTGATTACTAACAGCTAAGGTCAATACGAAATCTGGGCCGGCGTGAGCTATCGCCAACCTTGCAATGGACTAATATTTTATATGGGTTAGGGTTGATCTATGTTCAAAATATAAATATATATGAGATGGCTTTAATATAAGCGTAAAGTCATTCCTGTTCACATTAAATAAGTTATTAAAAGACGTTTAAAGAGACAGTACATGGAATGGCCGCCTCCTAGTGATAAATTGGCTTTTAAAAAGATAAGTAAGCTTGTTAAACGAGAATTGCGAGCTTTAGGAAACATAACATGGAAAAAAAAAATGCAATCCTTAAAGCCTACGTATAACACTTTGTGGAATATGGCAAATGTGTTCAAACCTGGAAAAAAATGGTCCGAGGTCCCTATGATTAAGAACGGGGAAGTTATCTACGCAAACTCCGTAACCGTAACCCTAACCCTAACCCTTTACCCTAACGCGCTGAAATTTAACATAGACAATGAACGACACCATTATCAGTGAACAAACACAAAGCACACATACAAGAGTAAATTTCACTTTTTTTTCCTTACTAATTAAAGATGAAAAACAATCTGTAATCGATAAACCTAACACTAGGAAAAGCCTGGGCCCTAATAAAATTTCAAATAAAATGCTTAAAAATCTTTTTATAACCGCAATTGATTACCTTATAGAGCTCATTAACTTGCTTATCACGCATGGTTATTTTCCTATAAGATGGAAGCAAGCTGAACTTGTTTTTATCCCGAAATATCTCGTATAAGCAATTACGCTAAAGGTTATCGCCCTATTAGCCTACTTTACTGCTTAAGAAAAGTCGCAGAAGCTATGCTTCTTTTATAATTGCAAAAATTTATTGATGATGAAAGCCCTATTCCAGCTTATCAATTTGGTTTTCGAAGAGGTCACTCTACCACCCAACAAATCATAAAGTTAGTTGAAGGGGCTTCTAATGCCCTTAATAACAAGAAATCTTACTCTTATGGTTTTTTTTTTAATCATATCGAAGGTTCGACAAGGTATGGCAATAAGAGTCTCATAATAAAATGGTCAGATATGCTTTACCTGCGTACATGATACGAATAATAAAATTATACCTCAGCAGTAAATACTTCATGGTCCGTGTGGGAACATAACTATCAGATTCCAAAATACTTAACGCTGGGGCCCCAGGGGTTTTAATTTTCTCCTTTATTCTCATGATACATGTCTTACATACTACTCCCTCTACCGCTCAAACTTCCTTGGCGTTGAATGTCCAAGTTACTGTTATCTACAGCAGCCCAAAATCTCTGCCTCTTTCAGTCAAATATATGCATCCCGCCTTAACTTATTTGAAGATTGGTTAACAACGTGGAAGTGACCGTTAATCCTTTAAAAATCCATGCCATGCTTATCGAAGAAAAAGAAAGGAAAGGGTACTACAAGGCTTATCTCTTTTTCATATCCCCCTCGCCTGGAATAACCAGGTCATTAACCTTGATGTTATTATTGATAACTTACTTGGAAGACCCTTATTGAATATTTGGTTAAGCAAATTAAAAATACGATACACACTTTATATATTCTTCTATGCAAAAATCGTGTCCTTAACCTTGATAACAAACTAATAAACAATTTTTGAAATTTATTAGGCGCTTAGTTGAGAACATAAAAACATTTGGAAAAAATCATTGAAATAGATTACTGGCCAATCCCCTAAATTAGAACCCCTCTCACTTCCTAAATATAGACGAAACATGTCCTTAGTATGTTCGGTAATAACTTTAAATGCAAAATTTTTACTGAAAAAATAATACAATAATTCTCATAAATAGTGGTGAACAAATAGTAATAATAATATATTAATAATATTACCTATATCAATAATTTAATATTCATAAAACCAGTGAAGGCTTACTCACATGGTCTAAAAATTTCAAAAAAAAATTGCCCTTATTATTATTTTGGCAGTTTTACTTCAAATTGGACATGGCTTTTAAAGCAGCTTCTTTGCAGGAAGAGAACTCTTTTGAACCCATCCACTTGAGGGGGTGTTGATTAAGCAGAGAAGTTATTCTACTTATAACGACTGTAGCAGGCCAGGGCAATAAATAAATAAGCTTAAAGTCAATGCGTACGGTGTAACCCTATTGAGAGCTCGTAAATTTGTTGTTTCCTTTTAGGACCCGATCGAGCACCAGGAAATACCCTTTAATAAAAGAAAAGGTATAGGCTAAACTCCTGCTCTGTTTACTATACCTTTCTTATAAATTTTTAAATAACTCAATTTATTTAATGATAAATTGTATAAGCAAAAAGTTTTTTCTTTTTAATAATGAAATAAAGACTTTACATGTATATGGCTTAACTTCTGCTTTATTTCACTATACTTTATAGGTTTTATTAATAACTCGTTTTATTTAGTTATGAGTTGTTTATTAATTTTTACTAAATAGGCAATAGGTCATATATCTTCTGTTGTAAGTGTTATAAGAACTCGTTTTATTAAGGAATAAAGCAAAAAGTAAATTTTTTTTTTTAAGAAAAAAGTTTTGCAAGTATATGCTAAACTTCTGCTCTACTCACTATACTTTTATTATAAGCTTTATCAACAATGCGCTTCATTTAGTTAAAATTCATTAGTGCTTAGAAGAAACTTTAACTTAAAGCATATTACTCTTATTCTTCTCATATTTTTCAGCAAAACAACAATGACAATAAGTAACTCGAATTATTTAATAAGCTGTACGTACTTAAATAATTCTTGCCTTTAAGCTAATTATAATGATGCATTTATTAATTATTAGGACATATAAAAATGAAAACTTAATAATATTAATAAAAAAAAAAAAAAGAGAATTATTCTGGGCCATAACAATTTTTTCAAATGGGCAAGTTGCTTCCCCTATAGCCTTCTAATCTAAAACATTAAGTATGAGAACTAAAAAAAAAGTAAAAGTGTAAAAGTTGTAAAAAAAGAAATCGCATTAGTTCTACTGTTCTAACAAAGGCTTAAGCTTTAATACTATTTATAAATTTACTCTACATGTTGCAATTTTTTTTTGTGTTAACGCATGCAAGGAAAAATAGCTTTTTTTTGAAATTGCTTTTTGCAAAGAAAAGGTTGACCTTAACAATAAAATAATTAATTTTAACTCAATTTATTGGTTTTTAAAAAACATAAATTCGATACATAAAAAATTATTAATAAAGTAAACGCGTTAAGGTTACTTTAAGTTCGTTACGTTAATACAAAATCCTTCTTTTTTAAAAATTTTGAAAATGCTAAAGCATTGTTTCATATTTAAAACAAATATTAATAGAAAACTATGATAAGATACCTTTTATTCGCAAATTACTTAAAAAGTGGACATAAGCAGTTTTTAAGATGTATAATGAAAAAAAAACGTTAAGCTCTTAAATTAAGTTTATTAAATTAATTGAATTGTTTATTCATAAAAAAGAAAATCTTTTATTGTGGTATTTAATGGAGCCATAAAAGTTGTTTCTCTTATATAATGAAAAGCTAACCGTTTAAAATATCCTCAATTGATATATAAGAAAAGGATCACTCCAGAGCCTGAAATTTAAAACTTTTGAGTATGGAACCCGGTAGCTTATCGATCTCCTTTAAAAAAAATTACAAAATTTCCTAACACTGATCCCCGTCCCCGAAAACTTAATTTATGAAACTGTCCTCTGTCTTCTAGTGCTTGTGCGATTTGCATGAACGTAAATTTTAAAAATTATAACTATACTTATTAATTTGCTATCTTTAATTTTTATAAATTTT